CAAGGGGCTACCCCCCCACTGCCTCCGACAGAAGGAAAGCACACACTAGAACCCGTCTCAGTTCATCTGGACAGAGAAGTCTGGGTCACATGGGCACAGCCACGGGGAGGCTGACAGAGAGAAACAAGTGCCAGTGGGTGCAGGTTTCCAGTCCAACAGAGCATGCTCTGTCCACACAAAGAACACTTCCTCCAGCTAACAGTCCCCCAAATGTCACAGTATGTGGGGGACATGGATTCGTACCCAGGTCTGGGCTTCACAATGATGTTCAACGTGCTCCACGCGTGCTTGGCCACCTCTGCTCGGCTCCGATGCCCCCGCTTCCCAACCGCACGCCTATTGGCTCTGCACCCACTAGACTGCGGGTTTCTGAGCCCCGCATTCTCTGATGCTGTGTCCCCCCGTGCGGTCCCAACACCAGCTGCCCCGGGAGGCCCTCAGCAAGCAGTCAGTGACAGGATGCTTGCTGGAGGGTCAGGGCTCAGAGGTCACAGCTGAACTCCTGGAAAGAACGTGTCAGTGGAAAAGCCAGGCCCTGGAAGAAGGGGCGCAGGCATTTGGTAAACCACTGGGTAGTCTGGTCAGAGCCAGGGTCACACCAGGTCTGGGGAGGCCGAGTGAGCAGGGTTTGCCAACACTGTTTTGGCTACACACCCAGGCCAGTGCCTGCACCCAGGAGGCCCCATGGCACAGTGTTGTCCAGCTAAAACTGGGCCCTGCCACAGGGCAGCTCTATCAGTCTTGATGGTCTCTATCCCCAGCTCTCTCCCTCAATGGTGCTCCATTCTGGACAAAGGGGGCCTCTGTAGGGCCACACGCACCCCAGGAAAAACCCCAGGGCCTCCAACAGACTCTAGAGTTGGGCAATTCCTATCTGGAACTGCACTGAATGCAAAACTCAGGGTGACTGGCCCTCTGCTGAAGTTCCCAGAATCCTTCAGACTCCCCCCTCGAGGAGCCACGGGACAAATTGGCTCTTAATGAGGGGAGTGGTCCCTCCAGGGGAAGAATGTGGCTGCTGGAGAAACAGTTTCCAACCCGCCAGCCCTTCCTTTTAAAGAGACTCCTCTAGAAGCCAAGTGGTTAAAATGGGAAACGTCCATACTTGGAATCTGCTGGAAGGTAAAGAACTAAAGCACTTTTAGTTCAAAAGAAATAAAAATTCTCTCACTTGCCCTGAGAAAAAGGGTGGCTGGGAGTATGAGGCTGACCCACCCGACTTTATTATTGCTCCGTGAAGGAAAAAAGCAGAAAAAACATGGTCTGTGGCCACCGGAGGCATCCCGGCGTCCCGCTGGTGTTCACTAAGAGACAGGTTGCATTTTCCAACGTGAACAGGTCTCGGAAGAGCCAGGAAAGTCCAGAGCTGGGAGAGCATGTCCTTCGGAATGTGAACAATTTGTGCTCAGCAAGCATCTCTCTTCCTGGCCTGGCTGTCACTCTCGCTCAGATCAAAGTCACTGCCGGAAAGAGTGACCCTCTAGAACTGGGGACAAATTCCTGCCCTGCGTCTCCATCGACAACCTGCCTGCCTTTAGCCTGAGTGAGAGGCGAGCAGAGAAGGAAAGTGGGCCATTCAATTCGAGAGCCACTTCTTTTAGAAAATTATCGATAGTTTCCATTCTGTAATAATAACAGTAGGGACCAGAATGCTGGCTGCAGTCCACACATACACGTGCTTCCCCCCACACAATATATGGGGTAGGCACTGTGATCGTCCCCATTTCACAGACGGGGACACTGAGTCTCAGGCCGGTGAACAGCTGTACTGGGTCCCACCCGCCCTGGCCTCTGCGACGCTGCCCATCGTAGTGGATTCTTCATGTATTTGTGCCCGTGGGAAAAGGGCTTTTCTGGCTCAAGGAAGTAGTATTTGTTTTAGGATACTAATTTTTTTAAGATTGATAAAGCTTTTTCCTGACTCTTTGCAATAAAAGGCACAGTCAAGCACACGAGGCACTAGGAATTACAAAGACGCACAGCATAGAACAGCTACCACGCAATAAATTAACTCAAACCTGCCACATTGCCGACCTCAGCACACCTTCCCGCCTCCCGACTCTGAACTCCACAACAGAAAAATGGCCAGTGGCAGGAGTGGCCCTGGCTCCCGGTCACTGAGCAGGTACCCAAGCTGAGCACTTCATAGGTGAGCCCAGGTAAGCTCCCTGGTATCACTCGAGGCATCATTACTGATCCCCACATTTTACAAATGAGAGTCCTAAGGCTCACCAGTGTCATCTTGGATCTTCCCACCAGCAAGAGGTCTACACCAGCAAAAACTCCATCCCAGTCTGTGCAACCCCCAAGCTCACCAAGAGAGCCCGAAGCCGCCTCCTGCCTGGCTGACAGCCCCGGGCACCCTGCAGGGCATCCCGAGCCTCTGGGCAGAAGCATGCTCAGAAGCTATGTCTGCATAACTTGCAAAATTTGGCTTTGTTGGTGGGATCCAGGCACCGGCCCACTCGGTGTCCCACAGGCTCAGGTGTGCTGGAAACCTGCTCTGCACAAGGGCTGCCAGGGTGGGCAGGACCCACAGACCCACCCTCACACACCTTCAGACCCACCTCCCCAGCCTTCGACCATCTCCACGCAGAGGGGCTGTTCGGACCTTTCCTTGGTTACCCACGCGGGGCCCCACCCCAACCTCCACCCACTGCGACGCTGGGTTAGTATCCAGGCGGCCGGTTAGCACCATCAAGCCCTTCGTCCGCGGAAGGCAGTGCGCCGTGCGGACTGCACCCAGCCTCACCGATGCTGGCCACAGATCTACGAAGCAGGGCACTCATGATCCCATTTCACAGGCGGACCAGCTGAGGCTCAGAAATGTCAGAGTGACTAGCCTGAGGCCCCACATCCAGCACAGGAGAGAGCATACTGGCGCCCTGGGGACTGCACCAAGGAGGCAACCCCCCCCCCC